TCACAAACGAATTTATGTTGAATGGTCTAGTGGAAATAAAGATATCGACAGTCTAATAAATGAATGCGACAGAATTGGTGACTATAAACATTTCGAATGGATCCCATTTGAAAGATTTACCAATGTTGAATACCTTGCAAAAGGAGGTTTTGGATCAATTTATAAAGCAACCTGGTTGGACGGACCATTAGATACATACAGGGGATGGGATCATGAAGAGAATAGATTTAAACGAACAGGAGAATGCAAAGTTGTGTTAAAATCATTACGCAATTCAAAGCAAATTACATCCGAGTTTATATACGAGGTAAAATGAACACCTTTAAGTATAAGCATATTGCTTTTTTGTTTTTCAATCTAATTCACTTTTTCAAAATTAGATCCAGGCTGCTCTAAAGTGCAGTTATTACGTTGTAATAAAATATTATGGAATAACTAAAAACCCAGCTACCGAGGAACACTCGATAGTGATGGATTATGCAGAAGATGGCGATCTACGCAAGCATATAAATTCTAAATACGAAGAAGTGAATTGGAAAGCGAGATTAGTATATTTAATGAGTATTACTTCAGGGTTGAATACAATTCATATAGAGAAATTTCTGCATCGTGACCTTCACCCCGGAAATATATTAATGTCGAATATGCCTTCAACTACACTTGCTGATTTTGGACTTACCAAACCAGATATAGGAAATTCTGATCGAAAAATTTACGGAGTTCTTCCTTATATGAGTCCAGAGGTATTAAGTGGAAAGCCATACACTAAAGCTGCAGATATTTATAGTTTCGGGATGATTACGTACGAGGTTGCCACAGGTGAACGACCATTCGGTGAGAGAAGTCATGACATACATCTTGTATGCGACATCTATAACGGAGTACGACCTACGATACCCAATACAGTTCCCGGATGGTGCAAATTTATTATTGAAAAATGTTGGGATCCTATTCCAGAAAATAGACCAACTGCTTGGGAACTTCACCAATTTATCAACTCTATCAAACAAATTGATGATTTCATTAAGTGGGGAAGAAAACTGAATACTTTGCATTTTCAGTACTACAGCTCTTTAGAATATCCCAAGACAAATGAAGAAATTATTGAGTGTCTCAAACTGGAAAAGCAGAAATGGAAAGAACTTGATAAGGAGATGAAATTAAAAAAGAGCATTCCTACAAATGTGAACAAAAAACAACAAATCCACTCTAATGCAGTTTACACCAGTCGAGTCTTTACCACCAAACTAATTTCAATTCCAACTGAGACAGGTACTTTTATTTTGAAATATAAATCATATTAGCATTTCACAGTAATTAAAATTCTTAACAAATATAGGAATGTCAAGTATCAGTTTGTTTGTTCCAACCGAAGGTAAAAATTACATTTATTATTTTTTCATTAATTTCTTTTATTCATTATTATTTTTTTTGTGTTGTGTACAAGACAGATTCGGATTTTAGTATACCATGTGAAATCAAAGATAATGAAAGGTTATCGGTTGATTTGCAAGAAAAACTACAGACTCATGATGAAACATTTCCAACAAAGTAAAACATATTTTAGACTTTAGTAAATTAAGTTGACAAGAGTATCTGTTTATTAACTGTGTCTCGAGCTAAAGCACAAACAACCGAAAGCAGTTTTTACTTTTTTATCGAAATTTATTGCTACTATAACGACACATTAGACTAGAAATTTTGAGTTTATATTCGATATGAATGTCTAGTCTAGCGAGAATAAAGATATCGCCTGTCTAATAAAAGAATGCATTATTGTACGGTTACAAGTAAGATCATGAAGAAAGTGCATTATGAAACTTGTATTTAATACTAAAAACCCTGCCCAGCTACAAATATCAGTGGAACTGAGAAGAATCCACAGAGAAACTTGTGCATCGTGACTTTCACCTGCAAATACATGTACTGTATACCGTAAACTGCTGTGAATAAGCACCACTTGTTGGTTGTAATTTAAATTTGCTTGGATTGAAATAGGGTGGTGCTTATTCACAGCAGTTTACGGTATTATTAAATATTGATTCTTTCATTTTCGACTTTGTGTTTACCGGTCCAGCAGGTATAAAAAGAAATTTACAGAATATTAAAACAGGCAGACCATTCGGCGAGCGTAGTCATGGTATATATCTAGCATCAGACATCAACATCCATAAAGAAATACGACCTAAGATTCAAATTTATTATTGAAAACAGACTAACTGCTACGACTTTATTAATTCGATCGTAAATTTCAATATTGACTTGTATGATGAGAAATGGAAACTGAATACATGTGCTTTATATTTTCAATACTACGGCTCTTTAGAATCTCCTAAGACACGCGAAAAAAGCTTTGAGTGTCTTAAACTAGAGAAAAAAATAGATGAGCTTGATGAAAAGATGAGCATACAAAAAACGACAAACCCTGTGAAAAAACAGGCCGGAAATTTTTAGGATCTTTCCAGGATTCAGGAAATTTTCCAAAAAATTTAACCTGATAAAAACATTAATACTGACTTTCAGCCAGCTTAATATTTTTGAAATAATAATGACCTGATACTGATTTTCGACCAGCTTTCATCAGGCTTATTCTAAGTCTTTCACAGTTTTTTCCAGGTTAAATATCATTATTTCAAAATATTTAACCTGACTGAAAATCAGTATTAATGTTTTTTATCAGGTTAAGTACAGGAAATAGTTAGTTATCTCAGTTTTTGTCAGATTGAGTATAGAAAATGATCCATATTCTGATTTTTTTATTAGTTTCTGTCAGGTAGAATAAAATCACCTCTATATTCACATTCATACTATAATTACATTTATAATTATTGGACGTGACAGTGTCGTTATAGAGGAATTTCTGTAGTTTTCATTGTTAAATAACTACTCACTCTTTGATATTTAAATTGAATACCTAGTCACTTTTAGCATTCTAAATAATATATACATATAAAAACCAAGAATGATAACATTTACTTTCTAGAATGCATATCCTCACTGAATGTGCACTAATATCTATGATATATTTTAATAAAATCCTTTAAATAGCTGAAAAGTCATTAGATCAATAAGTCCTAAATAAAAAACAAATTCCAATGAAAACAGGCTCTAAAGAAAAAAAACTAATAAATAAAAAAACAAGTTTTTTAAGAAATAAAAATATTAACGTTAACCTATCAAAAATGTATAATTGAACTAATAAAAATTCGTAATAGAATTATTAAATACTATCGATTACCATATCGAAAAATTCCTCATATACCATTTTCACTACCATTGAATATGGAAGATTATCGTTCGTGTTTCTTTGTCGATCCCAAGCTTTACGATCCCAGGTATACTTTTTCTTACTTCCATATCCAAAGTCATCCTGTACAACATCGAAGACACGCGAATATTCGTTCTTCTTCTGTTGAAGTTTCTCTTTAACCGTATCAAAATCAAGTATACATTTAAAATCTGGTAATGCAATCGTATCCCAGTCTGGTATATCTTTCAAGGATTCCACAATGTCATCTTTAACTGCGGTAAGATCGAAAGAACTTTCGATTACTTTTACAAGTTTGATCATATCGAGTCTGAGCTTAACAGTATTTTCTTTGTAAGTTTGCAACACTTTTTTGAGATGTTCCTTTTCACTAACGGCATCGTCTATATATGACGGATCAATAGAAGTTCCAATCGTAATTACTGAAAGATAACAATAAGCGAACCCAATTAAGCACGGTGTGGTGACAAGCGGGTGCATATAAAAGATATGATCCGGTTTATCAAAATTACAAAGGATCTTTTGGCAACTGTGGAATGCAGGCGCTACTTCACGCTTTCGATCCTCGATGGAGAGATCGTCTTTCATCATTCGATTAACGCGATTTCCAATCACCTTTATTTCAGATCCCAAATCGTTTAATGCGTATATTGTGAGGCTTCGATTAATCTTTTCAATAATTAACTTGTCTTCAATTTCTCTTTCTTCTTCTTCAAGCATATGTAATATTGCACTAATCGAATTAATGACGTAGTGGCTATTGGGTATGATAATGTCCGCAATCGTTTTAACCACATCCGAGTCCGCTAGCGTTATAATCGCTCCTGCTCGAAGTTTTTTCGCTTCAGAGCTCATCTTTTTCATCTCATCTTCACTGGCTGAAACAAATTTTGCAGTTGGAACATAATCTTGAGATTGAGCGGAATCCATTATTAAAAATTATACATGTATATCGATATAACTGAAGCAATAGAGTTTACGTACATGTACATGTATTACGTATCGGTATGTACCGAATATTTTGTATTACGGTTGTGGTATCAAAAATAGTTTATTTTGTCATCAAAAAAGTGGAAGTTCGCATTTTGAAATAAAAGTTTGGCTCCCCAATTTTTTGTGTTGATCTTACTTTTTCGATGGCGAAATACGTACCGGTACCGGCAGTGTTGTCACTTGGACGTAAATCCAGCAATTTGATTGGTCAGGACGTTTGTCCCAGCCAATCAAATTGCTGGATTTACGTCCAAGTGACAACACTGGGTACCGGTACCAAATACGTATATGTACATGTATTAGATGATCTACATATTACATGCATTGAAACAAAGAAAACCTGATTTGACCATAGCGATAGCGATAGTCCTAAACGTAAATGTTTAGGATAATGCTTTTGAGAACAAAGAACGTCGGCACTTTTTACCGTTACTTGAAAAACGAAGTTTTCTATCGCTATATTTTCGCAGAATAATTGGGTTACAATTATTGATAATTTATCTACTATTTGACTATTTCTTTATCCTTCGTTGTGTCTCTATAACTAAAGAATTTTGTAAAACGAACATTTCCTAGCTTGTTTACCAAAAAATTACCTTTGAAATAGGATTGCAAACCCACCGCAGGTAGAAAAAAAACTTGTCGTTTTTTATCCAGAAAATCATCGGCATTTATATTCCGGAATATCTAAGGTTTTTCGGAATATCTAAAGTTTTCTGGACAAAATTCCGTGTATATATACACTAGATCCAGAAACATTCAACAGATTGATTTTTTCTATCGCTATTATTCGTGCATTTGCATATACCCCAAATTTCGGTTACCGTTACTTTGTTTTAGAGTAAATCGCGTATATACATAGAAACCTCCCCCTTGGGATCATATTTAAAAAAAGACTGTGTGCATTTATAGAGCAAATAATTAGAGTTTGGGACTGAGCCATAGCGTGCATTTAGAGAAGATGTATATAATGTGTGCATTTATAGAGGGTGCATTTAGGGAGGTTTCTCGGTTTATATAAAAATATAACGGTAATCTGGATAAATAAGTGATAAATTCGCGAATATTCGAATTTACACAAGATCGAATCCAACCGGATCGTAAGAGTCGTAACCAATGAACAAAAGAGTACATGTATATATATACTTTAAAATTCTGTTTTGACCGGTTAATTTTTGATTAATCGGAAAATTCCGGTTATTCAATGACTTAAGATTATCAAAAAATGAGTATGTACTGATCTTTATTGATCAATCTAAAACACAAACCAATACCGATACAGTCAAATCTCGTTATAGTGAAGGTGTTCAAAAGTTCACTATATCGAGAGTTTGGCTAAATTTTATTATATAAAATTACATAATTCTTTTATATAAAATTTTAATAAGTATTGCATATAATAACTTATTATAAAGTTTTATAAATAAGCAATTCTCTATGTTATTAATTTGAGATCAAATTTTAAAGATATTTATTATAAAACTTTCTGAATATTTAATATTTATTAATTCAATAATTAAATTATTCATTATATATATATTAAAGATTTTGATTACATCACTAATTGGATAATTCTGATATAATAAAGTGTATATATATAATTATATTTTTGCTAAAAATTAGAATTAGATAAATGAATTTTTTTTATTTTAGTATATAAAAAAGATTACTTATTTAATTTTTTTAAAATTTTTGAATCTAAAAGAGAAAAGTTATTTATTTACAGAAATTGTTTATTCATGGAACTTTATAATATTTGAAAATAATAATTCTTTATATTATAATTTTTATTAGATTTTTATTATTATTAATTACAAATAAATTCTATTACTAAAAAATATTTTTTATCAAATAATTTTAATTTATTATAAAATCTATTATATTTACTTTTATTTGATATTGTTATAGTAATAACATAAAAATTGCAAATTCAAAAATAATCAAAAAACATAAAAATTCCAAAAATATTTATATAATGATAAAATTCCCTAGTATTATTTCACTTTTTATTATTTTTATTAGTTCATTTTTTATTTTTCACTTTTTTTTTGATTTTTCACTTTTATTTTTTATATTTATATATATTATTTTACTTTTTATTTTTTCACTTTTATTATTTTACTTTTCATTTTTTTTCACTTTTATTATTTTACTTTTTCAAAATTTCACTTTTATTATTTCACTTTTTCAAAATTTCACTTTTTACTTTTCACTTTTATATATTTTTATAATTTTTTGTAATTTTGAAAAATGTATAAATAGAGATGCTATCTAAGTCTTAACTTGACATGTTTATAACTGAAAATAAAAATCTCTCTTAACAAAAATCTTCTTTCAAATACTTTTCACCTCTCATATTTTTTTATACACTTCAAATCTTGTGTATAAGTGATTTTATATTGTATTGAATCTATTAAATTACTGATAGCTTTATATTATATTGTACTGAGCAAATTGCTATTATTAACTTATATCATATTGTACCAAACAAATTGCTATTATTGGATTATTGAGCTTTATATCATATTGTGCTGAACAAATTACTGTATTAGAAATTATTGAAATTAAATTATAAGTATTTTTACTTTTTGTTATTTGAATTTTTAATTATTAATTAATATTTTTCACTTGTGAGAAGAACAAAGTAAAAGAGTCTTTGTTATTATTATTACTAATTATATTGTTACAAGTTTGTTCACTAATCGTTAAATTAGCTTATAAACGAGAACCTGAGTTGGGAGAGGATATAAACTGATAATAAAAATATTAAAAAGAAAAGAGGGATATCTAAGGCCTATGCCAATTTCTACGGAAATTGT